GGATCCCCTCCGTTAAAAGCTTGAGTAAAGTAGATGCCAGATGAGCCTCAACAATCAGGACATTCCAAAGGCAAGGAACCACCACTGAAAAAGCCCTGTCTCAGGTCACCACTCACCTCACCACTGCAAGTGGGGGCACAGAAAGCAGGGCTTGAGAGAAGGATTTTTGCTCACAGACTGAACAGTACAGTGAGAAGTTCTATTACTATACCCCCAAGCCATTTAGAGCAGGGGTGTCAAATTTAAGACAAGTTGGCCTGAAGCGGACCACTCATGGCTTTAATCAGGCCCATGGGTCTCTTCTTCCCTCCTCCTCCTCCCCCTTTGAAGCTTGAGGCTGCCAGTTCCCAGCTCCCTCCATCTTCTCTTTGCCAGCTTTGGCAGGAAGCTCTTCTGGATTTGCAAAGTTAGAAAGAAAATACGGAATTGATTTTTCTATTAAGGTCTATGCACCCAGATAGACTACTCTGGGATTGTTTCCAGCAATAGAAACAGTGCTCTGGAATGACAGCCCCCAGAGTGGAATGACTGTCCCTAGCAATAGAATCTGTGTTCTGGGGCTGGAATGACAGGGTGGAATGACAGCCCCTGGGAGTAGCAGCCGTATTCTGGGAATGGAATTCCACTCTGGGGGCCCTCATTCCAATCTCAGAACACTTCTGCTACTCCCAGGGACTGTCATTTCACTCTGGTGGCTGTCATTCCAGTCCCAGAGTAGTCTATCTGGGCCCTGGTGTTAATTCTAGGAGGTGTTGTAGGTCTTCATAGAACCGGTCCACTTCAGCCTCTTCTGCATCAGTGGTTGGGGCATAGACTTGGATTACTGTGATGTTGAATGGTTTGCCTTGGAATCGGACCGAGATCATTGTCATTTTTGAGTTTCTGCTGTGATCCTTGTGCTTTTTCTTGATGTTTTATTTTCAAAATTGCATTGCCAAAACCCACTATTCCCCCACCTTTCCATTTTAGGCAGGCATCTGGGGATTTTTTTTGGGGGGGGGAGGTGTCAGTTATCAAAGACTGTTGAATAAACAAAATATTGCAAGAGTTTTAAGCATGTTTGTATTTTAAGTATCTTTTACAAAGTTTATATCTCTGCTACCTGGCATTACATTTTTACGACATGCATGGCCTGGCCCCACAAAGTCCCATTTATGTTAGATCCAGCCTTTGTAACAAATGACTTTGATACCCCTTTTAGAGCCTTGAAAGTAAGAACCAGATCTTTGAACTGTGCCTAGAACCAGACAAGAGCAAGAGTCCAGTATCACTTTAAAGACTAAAAAATGTATTCTTCTTAAGCAGTGACTTCTTCTTGAGCAGTAACTATGAAACCTCATAGTCTGCCACAAATTTTGTTACTCTTTAAGGTCCTATTGGCCTCTTGCTCTTTTCTACTGCTACAGACAGACTAACACAGGCCCCGGTCACACCAGGGGGGAAAGGCATGACTGGTGCGGCTTTTTAGAGCTGCAACAAAAGAAAAGCGTGGCTGCAGGATCAGACAGATCCCCCGAGCTGCCACACAGTTGCTCCCCGGCATGATCAGATGCTGGGAGGAAGCCACGGACAGGAGAGGAGGCAAGCCTGTTGTGCATGCATGCGCATGCACAGTTCAACAGAGCCTCAGATGCTGCGGGGAGACGGGCGCATCGGTGATCAGACGCCCGCCCGTGCTGTGCGTCAAACAGTAGGTAGTACTGTTTTGGTGCTACCTTTTTGATGCGCGGTTTCACCCAGAAGGGACAGATCGGGGATGGGTGCGCTCCACTTCCCAGATGTTGCAGTATGATCGTGCCAGCTTGATGCGCCCCTGATCCGTCCCTCTTCCGTGGCAAATTCTCCCATGTGACCGGGGCCACAGCTACCCATTCTTGATCTAAAAACAGGGAGGAAGACAGTGTAGATCTTTCAGCACAGGAGTGATGCAACCTGTCTGTCCACCCCCTGACAATAATATGGCAACCACGTTTTCGACCAACTGAAGTTTCCAAACAATTTTTAAAGAAATTTGTTTACTCAGAAGCAAGTCCTTATGAGTTCCACAGGATTTACTGCCTGTGAATTTAAGACTACATTTTAAAACCACGTGTAAAACTTAATAAGGGTATTACTGTGAAGGAGTTCAGATTATTGATACATAGAATGTGGAGTAACTTTGACCAAAAAGCCATTTAGGTATTCAGTCAACACAAGTGACTGTCTTGAGGAAAGACAAACTGGCAGCAACCCATGGCACCTGGTGATGGAACTGAAAGTTCTCCATATGTACGCTGTTCTTTTTATAGGTCCAAACTGCAGAATTATCCTTTGAGTTAAGGAAATTCCTTTTGTCATCTGTTTGTACAATTCTTAGTCATAGGTACCGCAGTGTTGGCATCTGCACAGTAGTGACAGATGGGTGTTAAATAACATTTGATAAGATCAGTTTGTGCTTACTCTCCCAATCTGATTTATGGGAAATTATTGGGTTAGATCCAATGTCCTAGAACTTCCATTCATGCAAAAGGGACAGGAAGCCATTTTTACTAGTTCAGACTTTCCATTGCAGACCTCTATGTCTCATCACATCCCGAGGGTCCCATCCTTAGGGCTACCAGCCTCAAGGTGGGGGGGCCAAGAGTTGTCCTGAAATTAAGGCTGATTCTGCATTGGTTTTTCCCTCTGTTGTTTTACAACACCCATGTTGGAACAGAAATTCCCCTCTGCTTTGCATGTTGCTTTCACTTCCTTTGATCATTGGGTTTGATGGTAGCTTCCACACTCCATGCCACTTTCACTTTCTTTGACCATCAGATTTTTATTGCACCTTCTGCATAGATTTATGGCAGTTTTATGGCCATTCAGGGGTGACTTGAGGTATTTGAATGTGGTTTTGAGCTGCAATTTTTCCTCCCAGTTGAGACAATGTGGAGCAAATGTCAGATGCAGAATCGCCCTAAAACATCTCCAGACTACAGAGATTAATTGAAAGTGGCAGCTTTGAAAGACAGACTCTATGGACATCACATCACCACTGAGCTCCCTTCTCTCCTGTCAAGGCCAGCCTTGACAACCCCCAAACTCTACCCTTCCCAGGCACCACACCCACCTACTCAGGAATTCCCCAAGCAATAAATGACACTATACCCGCCCTGGGTTGCCAACCTCCAGGTCTGGCCTGGAGGTCTCCCATAATTACATCTGGCGCAAATGGCTGCTTTGGATGGTGGACTGTATGGCATTATATCCTGTTGATTATCCTTCTCTCCCCACATCCATGCTCCCCTGGCGCTGCCCCATCATGTCCAGGAATTTTCCAGCATGGTGCTGGCAACCAGGGGTCATTTTGTAGAAAAAGAGCTAGGGGAACTCATTAGAATAACTCATTAGCATATGCCACACCCCCTGACATCAGGGGCCCGGCGGTGGACCTGCAAGGCCAGCGGGAGTGCGAGGAAGCCCCGCCA